AAGGCAGACTGAAGGGTGAGAGGGCGTAGTTTGAAGATTGTCAATGCAAATCAGAGATTAAGTGATGACCATCTGTGCTATAGTGAAGAGAGAAAAGGAAAAACAAAAGCTTCCTCTGTGACCTTTCATAGAGGAAGTATTGGATTATTTTCCACAAGACAATGACCCACATAAACGCTGCCAAACCTCCATGCCAGTTAAAGTTCGAGTGATTAGTGATGCCATTTGTAACAACTTTTGGAATATGGTGGTGAAAATAGAGATGAGTTCCTAATCTCCTCTCCCCTTGTTCAATTCCTGTTCTGAAGCCTGCTCTGTCCCCTAGCTGTGCTAATCTCTCCAAGAATCCCTTTCACACATCTGTGGTTACATCATTCTGAAAGGGTTCAGCCATGTATGATAAAAGAGGTCATATTGTGTAAATCACTTAAAGACCTGGTATCATCCGTTTTCCCCAGGGGGTCTTTTTTTTTCTTTTTTTTTTTTGAGATGCATGGGAAAAACAATGTGATGGGTATCTTCATTTTTTTTTCTGCGAAGTGTATTAATTCAGCCATTGACTGTGCATGTTTCCCAAATGATCAGTCAGAGCTAGTTCATGTCCACACTCAGTAATCCTGAATATATGTTGACCTCGCTCAACACCCATCCATTCCTTGTAGGGCCTGGGATCTACTGTCTCCATACAACTGTCACCTCCTGCCTCCTTCCCAGCCCCAGGGCATAGGAGACCTGCCAGGGGTTCTCATCTTCCCTTGCTCTCAGCTGCTGTCCTGCTTCCTCTGTGCTACAAGGAACCTGGAAAGGCCAACACTTCCGTCTGTTGAATGCTGAGGACTACAGTCATTAATGTAAAAGCCATCTAGCCTCTGCCACTATCACATAAACTTATTTTCCTTCCTGTTCCTTGGGCTTTCATAAAACCAAGCACTCTTAGAGGGCTGCTAGTTCCTTTCCACCTTTGGGTATGGTAGTTGGACGTTGGTTCTAGTATTGCCGACCTAGTATCTGCTAGTAAACCCCTGTTGCTCTTGCATCACACAACCTACTGTTTAACATGAACCATAAGGCCTTTTATGATCCTGCTATTGCTTTATCTTATCAGTACCATCCATTTATAATGAAGGGCTTGCAGTTCTAATAAATCCCAGTGGCCTTGCTCACCTCTGAAATTTAGTGTGTGCTGTTTCCCTATGAAGATTTGTTTTTCCTTCCATTCTCTCTGGTTCCTTAACCATAATGAACATAATGGTTCATTATGTCCTAATGTAGCTATCTCTACCTCTGAGGTGTCCCTGACTACCAAGACTTTGATTCTTATGTCCTCTTTACTTTCACAGCAATCTGTAGGTATCGGCAACACAGACCTTTAAAATCGGCATCAATCATTTCACAGACCTGAGTTCAAATCTAAATATTCCTACTCACTAGCTGTGGAGACTTGGAGAGTTGCTTTGTCTCTCTCAGATTTATCGTCTGTGCATTTGGAAGAATAATCCCTTCATAATAGATTTATGGTAAGGGCTAATTGGAAGAGAGACGTAAAATCCATCACAGTTCCTGGAGCTGTGATTTTTAAGTAGCATTCTGTCACCCTGTTTTTAATGAATGTAGACAACCCCAGTGCAGTCTGGCAGTAAACCTCAGCTCCTCCTTCCATAACCTCTCTGCTGAATCACAGCTCCTGGGTGATTTTCAGAGACGTTTAACCAGGAGAAGGAAATTGAGCAATCTCTGCATTTAAACATCCCCAGTTGCTCAAGTTCCCGTCTCTGAGCTGGGAAACTTTGTTAGCACAGCCCAAACACATGCAGAGAACTAAATGCCATAATTTTTCAGAGTGGCATGAACACAGTTGCTTATGCCCCTATACCAATTGCTTAATTCCAATTGATATAACATTGTATATGTTTTTTTTTTCCCCCGGTAAATGCCATGTGTTTTTATAAATATATGCAAGTTTAGCTGTACAGGTTTTTTTTTTTCATAGTGTTATGTCAGGTTCAGGTGTACAATATAATGATTCAATAATTCTATACATTACACAGCACTCATCATGATAAGTGCACACTTAATCTCCTTCACCTATTTCCCCCATGCTCCCTACCCACCTCCCCTCTGGTAACCATCAGTGTGTTCAGTAAGAGTCTGGTTTTTTATTTGCCTTTTTTTTCTTTGTTCGTTTGTTTTGTTCCTTAAGTTCCATATATGAGTGAAATCATATGAAATATGTCTTTCTCTGACTGACTTATTTCACTTAGCATAATACCCTCTAGTTCCATCCATGTTGTTGCAAATGGCAAGATCTCATCCCTTTTTATGGCTGAGTAATAGTCCATTATGAATATCTCCCACATCTTCTTTATCCATGCATCTGTCGATGGACACTTGGGCTGCTTCTGTATCTTGGCTGTTGTAAATAATGCTGCAGTGAACGTAGGGGTGCATCTGTCTTCCTCAATTAGTGTTTTTGTTTTCTTTGAGTAAATACCCCAGGAGTGAATTACTGGATCAGAGGGTGGTTCTATTTTTAAGTTTTAGAGGCACCTCTATACCATTTTCCACAGTGGCTGAACCAATCTGTATTCCCACCAACAGTGCACGAGGATTCTTTTTCTCCACATCCTGGCCAACTTTGTAATTTTGTGATCTTTTTGATTCTAGCCATTCTGACAGGTGTGTGGTGATATCTCATTGTGATTCTGATTACCATTTCCCTGATGATCAGTGATACTGAGCATCTTTTCATGTATCTGTTGGTCATTTTTATATCCTCTTTGGGAAAAAATGTCTATTTGTGTTCTATGCCCATTTTTAATTGGATTATTTGGAGATTTTGGTGTTGAGTTGTATAAATTCTTTATATATTTTGAATACTAACTCCTTATTGGATATATCATTTGAAAATAACTTCTTCCATTCAGTAGGTTGCCTTTGTGTTTTGTTGACGGTTTCCTTCACCATGCAGAAGCTTTTTATTTTGGTGTAGTCTTAATGGTTCAGTTCTGCTTTCTTTCCCTTGCCTGAGGAAACAGATCTAGAAAAACGCTTCTGTAGCCAGTGTCAAAGACATTACTATCTATGGTTTCTGCCAGGAGTTTTATGGTTTCGGGGCTTATATTCAGGTCTTTAATCCATTTTGAGTTTATTTTTGTGTATGGTGTAAGAAAGTGGTCCAGTATCATTCTTTTGCATGTGGCTGTGCAGTTTTGAAGCACCATTTATTGAAGAAACTGTCTTTTCCCCCATTATATGTACTTGCCTTCTTTGTTGTAGACTAACTAGCCATATAAGCGTGGGTTTATTTCCAGGCTCTGTATCCTCTCCCATTGAGTTATGTGTCTGTTTTTGTGCCAGTACCATACTGTTTTGATGACTACAGCTTTGTAGTATATCATGAAATCTGGAATCGTGATGCCTCCAGCTTTATTCTTTCTCAAGATTGCTTTGACTATTTGGGGTGTTCTGTAGGTCCGTACAAATTTTAGGATTATTTGTTCTAGCTCTGTGAAAAATGCTGTTGATATTTTAATAGAGATTGCATTTTGCTTTCTCATGGGAGGGCCCTCTCGTCCTTCGCTTTGATAACACAGAGGGCACGTGAGCCAAGTATTTGGAACGTGTGTCTATGACTTCCATTACCTTCCTTGACTCTAGGAATGCAGAAACATAATGCCAGAGTAGTCCTGATGGCCTGTGATTTAGATGCTTTTGCCTGCAGAATTCTACCTCCCTTGACTTTTTGTCCAAAGAAAGAACCATTGAGAGACTGAGAATTTTCCAGAACGTTTCCAGTTGAAACTGAGCTAAAATGGTACATCACCTTTTAGCAGAAGACTGCTTCCTCTAGCCATTCCAATGTCCGTAGATGGAGGGTTTTCCCCTGGTACTGGAAGAACAGAAAAGTGATTTGATGTTGGTAAGGTGTTTACTTTTCCTGAGAATGTAAGCAAGTAATGATGTGTTGTAGCTAATTAGAGAGCTTTTATTCAAATATATGCAATATATTATTCAAAATGCCACCAATTTTTGTGTGTGTGACAAACTTTTTAAGAATGCTTAATTCTAAGCATATTTTTTACCCTAAAGAATCTAAGGAGCAAATAAATATCCATTGCCTCTGCTTTGGAAATAAGATATTTCTCAGATTTACTGATGCAACTGGCCTGGTCTGAATTCACCTCGAAAACACATTCATTTCCCTGCAGCCCAGTCCAAGAAATTTTAGTTCAACAAAATGGACTAGACCTCATTTCTGTTCTAAGACTACAAGTAATTTTTGAATATAATGTCTGTCCACGTGATAGGACAGATATTATATTCAAAAATTACTTGTAGTTAAATTCTTCCAGCATTTTTCAGCGGTGTGTTCTGAGGTTTTTAGATCCAGCCTATTTAACCAGAGATGCAATGTTGTTATCTGTAAGATTTGATAACAAGAAATGCCACCAAAATATAAAAGATACCTTGACAGTACTGGTGAACAAAGGCCATCCTGGTACCTCATCCTATAGCCTACTCTGTTCTCAGACATGGCTTAGCTCCCTGGGCCGTATTCTACTGGTTGCACTCAACTTTGGAGATCTTTTCCGATTGGTGTATTTCCTTGACAAAATAACGGTAGCAGGTGGCCCCAAAGATGTTATCCCCGAATCCAGAGAGCCTATGCCTATGATTCTGTTGTGATTATGCTGCGTTGTACAGTACAGCCAATCTCAGTATGGGGAGAGTATCTGGATGGGCCTTCTCTGTAAAAGCAGAGAGTTTTCCCCAGCTGGTGGCAGAAGGGGCAGACATTTGGAAGAGGTAGAAGATGGAGAAAAGCTTAATACGTTGCCACTGGTTTGTAGCTGGAGGGGGACACATGAGAAGAAGTGAGGAGGGTGGCCTTTAGGAGAAGGAAGTGGCCCCCACATGACAAGAACCTCAGATCTACACCCATATGGAAATGGATTATGCCAACAACTTGAATGAACTTGGAAACAAATCATTTGCTCAAGTTTCCAGATAAGAACACAGCTGGAGTGCTTTATAATTCTGGCCTTGTGCAAGCATAAACGGAGAATGCAGCCAAGTCCACCTGGCCTTATGATCCATGGAACTGGAAAACAATGGTAAGTATGCTTTTAAGTGGAAACTTGTTATAGTAACAAGGGACTGTAGTCTGTGTGCAACGACCTGCCAGTACCTCCTCCCCTGTGTAACTCCCGGGAAGTTCGTCCTTAGTGGTCAAATTCAACTGCAAGACTTATGCCCACCGTCATCACTAACACAAATACTGCTATTACACTGAAGCTCTCTACTACTACTGAAAACAACAACAGTAATAATGTCAGGTACTGGCTGATCACGTGCCAGGGGCTAACCAGATCCCAATTACAAAAGACAATAGGTCCAAATAGGGGTGGGAATCTGCACGTTTCTACAGTTTATACAGTTCCTAAGATAATAGTTACATAGTCAAGATTAAGAAACCATAACCATAACCCCTGGGACCTCAGAATGTGACTGTATTTGGAGATGGAGACTTTAAAGAGATAATTAAGGTTCAGTTAGGTCAGTGAAGTGGGTCCTAATTCAATATGACGGTGTCCTTGTCCGTAGAAGAAAAGGGAATTTGGACACACAGAGTGATGCCAGGGATGCACACGCACAGAGGATGGACCGTGTTGGGGACACGGCAAGATGGCCTGCCAAGGAAGAGAGAAGGAGAAACCAAAGCTGTCAACACCTTGATGTGGGACTTCTAGCTTCCACAACCGTGAGAAAATAAATTTATGTTGTTTGAATGACCCAGTCTATTGTATTTTGTTACAGAAGCCCTAGCAAATTTATATAAGTGCCATTTATTTTTTTTATTGTGGTTTTGGTCTTTATTGATATTGGAGACAGTGGAAATTCAGAAAAGTGTAAGTAATTTCCTGTGGCCATACATCTAGGCACTAGTGTTGATGTGGATTCATGCCTCGTTTGGTTTGCTTTCAGAATCCAAGCAACGTTATCTTCCCCTTCTTTGTCACAATCCGAATTTTCTGCTCATAAAGCGTTGATTGTAATTTATGCAGATAAATCAAAATTCCACGTACCATCACCCTCCAAACATACACAGGAAATAAATTTATATAAATCTTTTGTATAACTGAATATCTCATGGAACTTAGCAAGTTGTTAAATCAATTCTCAGGGTAACTTCATATATATATATATATATATATATATATATATATATATATATATAATCTTTTTTTAAATCTAGGGCCAAGATTTAATTATTAAATTTTCAAGATAAACAAGCACAAAAAAAGCAATATTTTATGCATTAACTAGGAAAAACATAACAAATTCCCTTGGATCATTTTATTTTGGAAATACACTCTAGTGCCTTCTATGAAATAATTAAAATAGAGTGCAAATCATATAAATTATTAGAACAATTTTTTTCTAAAATGGTGTCAAAGCTGTAGACTTGAGTTATATAATTTTGGGGGGAAAAGACAGCTCAAGGAAAATCATATCTATGAGATGAGAACTTCATTTTTATTTTTTTAAGGAATTATTTGAAAAAGACAATTTGGAAAGCTTCATGTCTACAATTCCATTTTTTGGTTATCATGTTCTAGATTTTATTAGAAAAGTTTTCTTTGGGCATACTACTGTATTCAACTAAAATATTATTTTTAATTATATTATAAATGATACAGTTGCATTGTTAACATTAATGACAAACTTTTTTCATATCACAAGTAAAAATACAAGTTTTTTTAAATCAGTCTTTAACATACTAATTATAGATCATATTCCCATTGTTATGAGTTTATGTTCAAAGTCTATGATTAAAGCCTCTTTGAAATAAGTAGTGATAAACATAGGAAATCCTAAGATCAGAGGTTAGTCAACAGAGAACAATAGTCAAGAGAGAACAGGATTTTAGAAGCAAATTATTAAAAAGAAAATGCTTTCAAAATTCATTAACAGACAAATTGAAAAGAGTAAAAATGAGCCTGGTTTCATGTAAAAAATAGCAATTGTTAGGCCTTGCTAATGCAATCAAATGGTTCATTTAGAAAAAATCTGCTCCTCATTTTATTTTATTTTTTTTTAAATATTTTATTTATTTGACAGAGAGACACAGCAAGAGGGAACACAAGCAGGGGGAGAGGGAGAAGGAGAAGCAGGCTTCCTGCTCCTCATTTTAAAGAACAGACTCTTGCTATCACCAGGTATTGAACACAAGGCATTATAATGAGGCCAATTTTTAAATAGAGTGTGTTTATATAAGACAGTCATGTTTATTGCAATTTTGCCACTAAATACAGCTCCATTTGATTCTGGGTTCTTTATTACATATGATTAAATAATACAGTGTCTTAAATGAGGTCAAGACGAGCCCAGTACTATCTAATGCCTGTGATGTGTCTATGTTTGCAAACTGAAATTAGCATTCCCAAAATGAAAGGTGGTGATATTTAAAACAACCTTCAAAGTACATGCAAAATTCACCAGGAACAAAAGAAAAAAAGTACTACAAAAATTTTCCTCAATTACCGGCTGCCATAAAGTTTTATTGTTTAGGGGAAAATGCCTATTTCCCTTCTTCCTAGTATGTATGCCTTTTGTATACCCTTCCCAGCTTTATGGAATCACTTTGTCTAAGAGAACCATAAGTATCTTTTTGAATTGAATCTCTTCAAAGCTTCACTACCCAAAGCCCATTAGAAATAAATGAGGAAATGCTAAAAATTTGGGGAATGTATCAGTCAGGATTTACATAATGGGTATTGTGGGAATGAGTGGTTTATTAAAGGAAAGGAACAACTGAAAGGGAGAGTCAGAGGGTCAGAGAGCCACTAACCCGTCTGCAGGTTAGTGCAGGTGGTTAGTGCAGGTGGTTGGTCAGTGCCGGCAGTTAAGGGGAGCTTGCAGGTAAATGTGAGAAACCAGCCAAGTTGAGCCATCAGTGTCAGACTGAGAAAGGGAAGATGTGGCAAAATCCCAAGGGAGGTTGTGTCAGTGTGGACACCACATCTCTGGGTCAAGCACCGTATATATGGGAGTCTGGTACCGTGTTGCTCAGTAGGACCAGTTTGAGGGAAGACAGCCTGGAGGCAGAGCGGCAGAGAGGGAACGTTCCCCGCAGTGGGACCTGCCAGGCTGCCCCTGGCCCTCACTGTGTCCACCTCCACTGGCCTGAGGTTAAGGACTCCTCTTTCAGTCACTTGATTATGGCTCACAAACATGGAGTGAAGGATATTTCAGAAATTGCAGTTCATGGCCTTAATCCAGTTGATACAACACAATCTCTCACAGGAAAGAAGAGATGCTGGCTAAATTAGATTTCTTAAAATAAGGTCAAAAGGAACTCGGGAGTGTCCATGAATTAGCTTAATAGTGAAACTTAAATTATAGGTGAGATTACTATATATATATTATTATCATATGTGTAATATACGTATGTTGTATTACATGTATGTATGTATACATATGTATATGTATCAGGTTTATATGTATATATGCATTATTGTATGCATATTCATATATAGCATATATATGTATATATATTACATATATACACACATCAGTGAATGAATGTGCATTTTTCAAGGGAGCTGTTTCAGATCTTTCCTCAGCTTACGCCAGATACCTGAGGTAAAAGAGATTTGAAACCACTTTTTTTTAAACAATCTTTTTTTCACAGATATGAAATCTATCATTTGCCTAATCTTGCACCAATAACCGATTGGTGACAGAAGCTGTAATTCGTTTTTTTATTTAACATTTTATTTTTATTGTTTGCATGCAATAAAAGAAGAGCTAGGATTTTAAAATTAAAATGGAACTATTTTCTTGCTTTTGAGAAATATGTAAAATAGGTAGACTAGTAGGGATACTTACATGTAAACTTTCATAACAAAAATTTGTAAATACATTTACATACGTATGTTTGTATAATACATATATATCAAAGAGAGCTAACATTAGCGTCTTATAGTTTTCATGAACTGCAACAACATGGATGGATCTTGAGGGCATTATGCTAATTGAAGTAAGTTAGAGAAAGACAAATACTTTATGATTTCACTTATATGTAGCATCTAAAAAAAAAAATCAAACTCGGAAAAAGAGACCGGATTTGTGGTTACCAGAAGCAGAGAACAGGGGGAGGGAGTAGGGAAAATGAATGAAGGGGGCCCGAGGTGCCAACTTGCAGCTGTAAGTAAGGACTGGGGGTCCAATGTAGACAATGATCGTAGGTAGTCTGCTGTATGGTGTATGTGAAAGCCGTTAAGTGAGTAGATCCTAAAAGTTCGCATCACAAGGGAAAACATTTTTTTTTTCGTTTTTCTTTGTGCTTATATGAGATAATGGATGTTAAGCAAACATCAGGGTGACCATTTCACAATACATATGAAAAGTCACTATGCTGTGCAGCTTAAACCTAAAAAGTGCTGTATGTCATTATGTCTTGATAAAACTGAGGAAAAAAGAATAAAAATAAAATAAAATAAAATAAAATAATATATGGGGCCTGAACTCTGCAAGAGTTTTTTTAAAAAGAAGGAAATTCTGCAACATGTAACAGCATGGATGAACCTTGAGGACATTGCACTAAGTAAAATAAGGAAATAACAGAAGGACAAATACTGCGTGATTCCATTTACAGGAGGCATCTCAAATAGTTAATCTAATAGAATCAGAGTAGAATGGTTGTTGCCTTGGGCTGGAGAAAGGGGAAATGGGGAGTTGCTGATCAGTGGGCATAAAGTCTCGATGATGCAAGATGAATAATTTCTAGAGATCTGTTGTACAAAATAGGTTCTATAATTAACAGTATCGTACACTTAAAAATTTAGATCTCATGTTAAGTGTCCTTTCCACAGTAAAATATAAACCTAAAAAAAAAAGGAATTAGTACGGACTTGTTCTGTTTCGACAATGGCATTTGAGGCAATGAGAATAGTGTGCAAAGGGTGTAGCAGAGAGAAGCATGTTGTGTGTGTACGTATGTTTGTTTATATTTACTATATACTCATATATAAGTAATATATATGATCTTTTTATATTATAATAATTATTTTTAGTGTTAGTATTATAATATATATGTATGTGTGTGTGTATATATATATATATATATAATTTTGGCTTCAGAATAAAATCTAAGGGACAGATGATGTTTAAAGCAGAAGTTGAGAAATGGAACAAGACTATCCCTCGCTCTCTCACAACCTACCCACCCATCACGCTGCCTATAGCAACATGCAGTTTAGAATATCTAAGTCAGTGTAAATTGCACACACAAGTAGGGATAGTATGTATCCTTCCCTCTGACACTCATACCAATGTTGCAAAATAGGACAATGGCAAAATGTATGGACTCTGGAGTCAGATACAGATGGTTTGAATCCTGCCTACCTGATCTAGTAGATAAGAGACATTAGGTAATACACAACAAAAATAGTTAATTCTCCAGTGTTTTCCAGAATGTTATCATCTAGGTACTTTTGATGAGTATATTAGCCTCTTTAGGACTCTGTTTTCTCACATGTAAAATCAGGATTATAAAACGTTGTTTAGACAAACTATGTGGTGCTATTATCAAAATGCAAAGCACATGGAATATTGTTAATTAGTTTATGTTTTAATGTTCTAGCCAGAGGGCACAGCATGTGTAAAGAGGTGGAGATGGGAATTTGGGGATATTTAAGAAACGGAAATGAGGCTAAACTCAGGGGACACTAGCAGGAAAGGGAAAGAATGTTATGTATTAAGCCAGAGCGATAAGCAGAACCCAG